ACTAAATCAAAAGGGGTTTTGAGTGGAAAATGATTTACACAGAGGTAAAAGAAAAGTGTAAGGGGGAAGGGAGACCCTCCTGTTTAGTCACCAGGTTCAGACTGGACCCCCTTGATTTCTAAACTCCTTTTCAGAGAGAAGCCTAGGTGTGCCTGGATCCAGACCTGGCCTTAGACCACAACGGTTTATGTCAAAGAAGTATGTTTAGCAGCAATTCAAGGTGTGTTCACAGTTGAGAGGGAGAGAGAGAGAGAGAAAGAGAGAGAGAGAGTGATCAGAAAGTATTTACTAATACAATCACAGTAATAAGACATTATGCTTTGAATCAATTCACACACACACACTCAATCATAAAAATTCCCCTCAAGTTCCACATTAGGCTTTGAATCAATTCACGAACACACACTCAATCATAAAAATTCCCCTCAAGTTCAGTGAAATACTCACTTCAAATCACATCATTTCTCAACGGGCCAAGGTTGAGTCTCAAAGAGATCAGCCCAGGTTTGCGAGTTACTCTGAGAAGCATCCCATTCAGAGGGAGTTACTGGGCACAGCCCGCTGCAGACCAGAAGAGCTCAAAGGACATATTTCAGTGATCAGGTGGCTTCAGAAGTAACCAGGTGCTGTGAGTTGAGCCAGACAACAGCCAAGCACCCTCACACACCCCAGTGGAACAGCAGTGAGAACAGGAAGAGCAATGCAAGAAAACCCATGAGCCAAGATAAAGACAGTCAAGCAGGTGAAGGATAGAGGGGGAAAACACCCCCCCTACAAAAACCAAGTGATGCAAAGGCGATGACTCACTATGTCCCATGAGAAAAGCTCTCCAAGCAATGGCCAACATGGAACAAAAAAAACCCTCACCTTCTTCTTCCTCTAACCCAGTTTTTATTGCTGAGCATGATGTCATATGGTATGGAAGATCCATTTGGTCAGTTCGGGTCAGCTGCCCTGCTGTGTCCCCTCCCAGCTTCTTGCACAGCCCAGGCCTACTCTTTCTCACTGGTGGAGGGGAAGCAGCAGAGTGAGAAAAAAAAGATAAAGCCTTGTGCTTGCAAGAAGTGTTCAGCAACAGCCACATAATGAATGTCTTACCAGCACTGTTTTAGCCACAAACACAAAACACAGTACCGCAGGGCTGCTATGAAGACAGTTAGCTCCATCCCAGCCAGACCCAGTATACCAGGAAAGAAATGAAAACAGCAAAGTCCCACTCCGGCAGAGGACTGGTTAGACTGCAACCGATTAAATTACTCCCCCACAAAATTAAATATGCTCTTGAACAACTGAGGGCAGTAAACAACCTTCAGAGAACAAGCAACCCAGCAAGGGCAGCCTCAGCACCTGCTCCAGTTCCCTTCCAGCAGGTCTGCACACAACATTCAGAAGTAGGGAGCTAAATAAAGTTACTCAGCCCAGTACTGTTCTGGAGCTCAGCAAAGTATTTGGCTTGACAGGGAAGATTTTTGATGGCTTCCTGATGGCCAACTGTGGTTGGTTTTTTGTTTTGTTTTCCTTTATATTTTATACAAGCAGAGTTATGGAGTGGTTGGGTGTGTTTAATTATGATAAGGTTTGGAAACTGTTGTCTGTTTAATAGACACTCATGCAGGGACTGCCTTATGTGAAGGAACTAATTTGTGACTTTGGATAGAGTTGTGAGTAAGGAGGAGTAAAATACCATTTTCTGTCCTACATCTAGGAAAGCCGGGAAGGCAGAGCTCCTCACAGAGGCGATGGTACACAGCACCTGCTGCAGCACCTGGCCTGTGCTGATTCATTTACTGTGGTGTCTTCCCAGGATGTTCACGCTCCCTTTTCCACAGGCAGCCAGCTCTTCTGTGTGCCTACAGCTACTCTCTCCTCCACGCTTCTCAGTGGTTTTTCACAGCCTCTGAATCTCTAATTATATTCACTGAGTTGACACAAGCTGAGCTGTGCAAGGGTTTCTGGAAAAGAGCAGTTATTTTATGCTTGCATACTCCCTTGTACAAAGAGTGAGAGCAGCATGCCATCCGGAAGAAATATACTGAAAAGAGTTGAGTTTGTCATTTCAATAGTCAATGTGATGTTTTGGCTGTTTCTGAAGATCAGCGTTTACAGAGAATAGATGTGTACATCGCTTTTTATGTGGTTCTTCAGAGGTTGCTTTCAGAAAATGATTTACTATTCCAGATGCCTACATACTCAAAAATATTGACTGAATGGAGAGAGTTCAGAGCAGAAGAGTAAAAATGATCATTTAGTGCAGATGTTTTGATTTACAAAAAAGTGATAAAAAGATTAAAGGGATAAAATACAGCTTGAGGCTGGGCTGACTGATGAGCTAGAGAGGATACAGCCCTCTGCAAATACGAATAAACCCCATGAATAAAACAATCAATCACATATGGCAGTGTACCACTGGGTAAGCAATGGCACACAAACTCAGTCCCACAAATTATTCTTCTATAAGCCAAACTAATCAAAAAGAAGTTGAAGTTCATTCTTCTGTCAAACATTTCTGAGTAGACCTACTCAATAGAATTGCAGAAGATGTGAAGTTTGGACAGAACAGAGGACAAGCTTCAAGCACTACACAGGCAACAAAGAAGTTTTCTTCTTGCAATGTCTGTGTTTCTGCATCATATTAATTAACAATATTGTATTTTATAGAAAAAAATTGGCATAATGTTTGTTGTTTACTTAATCGTAAGATTAAAAATTAGGCCCTTTCCCAGTGGCAGAGCAAGAGTGAGAACCTAAGAGCAAAGACTCAGAAGTCTGGCTGTGTACTGACTGCGGACACCCAGGCATTTTCATCTCTCCACTGGTACTGTCCAAGACCCATTCTTCCTCACGGAACATAGCACAACTACGCCTTAGTAACCCAGCAACCTCCACTCAAATGAGGACTGCAAACCGCCCCTCCCGGTACTCAGCTTATTCGTGACTTCAGAAATAGCTTTAATGATTTATTAACCATCTTTATTGGAGTAGAACCTAAGAAAGGACTTTGTTGCACTAGGTGCTGCATAAACACAAGACAAATAGGTAGTCCCTGTTAATTTACAATCTCAATAATTAAGCAAGGGACAGCAAGCAGCAAACACAAAAAGAAGTACAGAGGAGCACTAGGAAAAGACAGGCCATTCTCTGGTTACACAAGACAAATGACAGGTGCTGTTTCCTCTAGTGACCTTAACATCAAGGGTTTAACGTTACGGTTTTTCCTTGTTTCCTTTCTTTTGCTTGCTTGCAGTTTGATGCACTACCTGGCTTTGCAGTCTGCGTAAATGGATCCTCTGGGCAACAGCAATAGCTAACATTGTTGCCTTTGCAATTCCTAAGGTCATGGAGTTTGAAATTTTTGGTTATGCCTTATCAACTATACCAGTTACTACTGCTATAGGCCAGTTGCCATGCACAACTCCTGAATGCCACTCTCCTTTTCTCACAGGGGTGGTAGAAGGCATTCTTTGCAATTGAGTGCTCCTGTCACTCTAGTGAAGTGTAGTATGAATTCAGAGCAGCCAAAAGTAACTACTGGATAGACTGGTTGAAAGACTGCTATCAATATTGCTGTCTGCTATCAATAAGGCTGAAATAACAGGAACATACTCTTATTTTCCTAGGTTAGTGATTACCTCAGATATAAAATAAGTCTTTCTATTATTTCTAGTAAAAAATCCCCTATCAAGAAATTAGAAGACATTGAGGTTGTAAAGTGAGTGACTCCCAAACTAGGGATGTGAGAGGAAAGTAATTAATCTCATCCTATGGGTGCACTGTATTTCCATCTTTAATTATCAAAGCACTGCAAGGGGATCACAAAACCCCACAACAGAGGCCATGACGACCCTAAACCCTAGAGTGAAAAAACAGCCTTTACTACGCTTTTTTCTTACCAGCAAGTTTATGATGCATTTTTGTCCATGAGAATAGCACTTTATTGAAAGAACTGAAGAGTCAGTTATCCAGTACTTCCTTTCATCCTTCTTTAAGTGTGGGGCTTCAGGTCTTTTCTACTACTCATCATCTAAAGCTTGCTGTGACTTACTTTTCTACTAATAAACTTCCCACTAATATTCTGACCTATTTCAATAATTGACCATGTTGGAAGTATCACAGAATTTATTTTTCCAGTATTCAGGGGAGTAAAAATAGTAGTATCAGTTCTCTTTTACCCACAGGAGGGGAAAGATTACAGGGACTTGGTTCGAACTAATGAGTGTCCACCAACTTTACCAACTCAATCTGAGATACATAGAAGCAGATTTAATCCCTGTACTTGCACCTTTTTTTTTAATCTTAAGAAGTTTATATAAGTTTTATATATTCGTATTCCATATTCCATCCATCAATTCAATATTCCATCAAAGTGAATAGCAAGAGAAAGTGTTGAGAGCTTCTGCAAATACGCTCCCAGGTGGGTATCAAGAAAATGAAGACTATGCAGTTAGGTAATCATCAGTGAGATTCCAATTTTTAGATGATTTGTCCTGCATTCCTCCCAGTGGGAGGAGAGTGACAAATGTAGGAGTGGGATCTAGTTCGTCAGCTTTGAATTACCACACTTGTCCTTTCTCTTCCACCTAACCAAAACCAACACTTTGCTACTCTTGTAGCTGGCTCACTCACCAGATACATGTGATTTAACTGCTGAGCACAGGGGTTCATGAAGTGGTGGCAGAAAAAATCGTACCTTCAAAAAGGGTAAGGCCTTAATGCAGAACTTGTCAGCTGTGGAAACTTCACAACCACTTAATAGTAAGAATGCTTAAAAATGAATGAAACTATGTATTTTTCTTTAGTTCTGCTATTTAAAAATATGATTTATTACAACTAAATTAATAAACAGTGAGTGGATAAATACAAATTAGCTTTAGACAAGAAGCCATTATGCGAAACGCATCCATGTCTTTACATTGGCAAAATAGCAAATGTTTTTGTAATGGGAGTCTCCAGGGAACTTGCTGTGCTGATGGCTTTTTTTTTTTTTTATTCTTAATTCATAGAAAACGAATGGTTGCTTGAGGAATATTGGCGAGGAATGGGATGACACCCAAAACGGTATCATCAGGCCTCAGGCCTGCAACCCTATGGGGGACCAGCTGCAGAATGACGGGGTAGCGCACGACTGACAGCGCCCATCCAGCATCAAACTCCCCAGCCCTTGTTCCTGGGCGTTTCCACTGGGTCCAGCGGGAAGGCCGTGTCCCGCACGGCTCCGGCCGGAGCCCCC